ACACACACACACACACACACATACACTCACACACACACACACACACTCACACATACACACTCATACACACTCACACTGTACACCTTACAGTGTGGAGTTGTTTGTAGAGACTATTGGGGGGTGTGAAAGGTATGGTTGCTCAATAGACATCATTTGTGGAGTTAACATATCCTGAAAAGTGAAAAGGGGCTTTGCCAAGGAACCAAATGTCACCGAGGAAATGTTCATTCTTTTCGAGACAATTGAGCAATCATGAACACATTGCTATCCTCTGATCCATGTCAACTTCGGGAACAGGAAAATGGTAAGCTACAGTCGGAGATGTAGATCTACCTTGAGAATACGGACCGTTGAGGTGAAGGAAAGTCCTTGCTGCAGGCATCGTCTACAGATAGACGTCTCATGGGACTCATCTACTGAATGATGCTCCATGATGACGTATAAACGGGTGCGAATGGAGAGTGTTTGACCTGAAGTGGTTGCTTTATCTTGGAAGTTTTAGTTCTGTTTCTGTACAGGTCCTAATTGATGGACCATCTCCACCATTTACATCAAAGAAGGCATTACGGGCACTTTAACATTATTTCCGGACCTTGTGCGAAACTTAAGAAATAAGTCGGCGGCGAGTCAATGTTCAATGCAAAAAGCTCTCTCTCTTTTACTAAACTTAACAAAGATCTTGGCAGGCAAAGGAAACTTGAGAAAATCAACATCTGCAAACGTCTGTTGGCCTGTTAGACCAGTGTAGCTTGCAATATGGCGCAATTGTTGGGACTTCCAGAGTGGTAAGCCTAAATTCAAACTAATGCGTCATGCTACAAAAATGGGGACATCGCTGAAAATGGGGGGGGGGGGGGAGGGTACGCGCTATGTGGAGCAAAATTTTTCTGTGGATTTATCCCAAATGAATATCAGCTAAATTTCTTTTGACTTACTACAAATGCTGAGTACAAATTTGAAATGCAAAACTTCAGTGAGAGGAAAGTATTTACCAAAGAAATTGTAAAGTTTTTTTGATCACCCTATCCTGTATACATACCTGTATACACAGAGAGAGAGAGATAGATAGATAGATAGATAGATAGATAGATAGATAGATAGATAGATAGATAGATAGATAGATAGATAGATAGATAGATAGATAGATAGATAGATAGATAGATGTGTATGTATGTATGTAAGTATATATATATATATATATATATATATATATATATATATATATATATATATATATATATATATATATACATATATACATTTATATATATATATATATACACACATATATATATATTACACACACACACACACACACACACACACACACACACACACACACACACACACACACACACACACACAGATAACACACTCAAACATAATTATATTGGGGTCATGTAATAGAAACATTTCAAATCCATGGAAATCAAGAAAACTGTGTCGAAGTCTTCTCCAGTAACTGTTATCAAATATGAATGAATATAATTTTGAAAAATTAACAATAAACACAATATAAATAAATATATACAAAATCTTTCGAAAAGTGAACAGTTCTTTATAAAAGTACGTCAAACAGAATATTAATTAATCCACTGCAAACATTTTTCATCGCTCAAACTCCATCAAATGTATTCACTATTAACTGTTTCGCCCTCAGTAACCTTCAGTGAATCAACATTCACTACGGCAATTGTATCAAACACCATCAAAAGTCGTGGGACTATGCCAAATTTCATCATCAAACTTCTTTAAATTCTGAGAAACCTCTTCAGAATCGGTCTGCCTCTTCCTACAACGCCAAACTTCTTCAAACCCACTTAAAATCATCCGAACTCACCCCTCCTCTGTCATTTTCCAACCAGCCAAACTCCATCAAACTCAATCAAACTCCATCAAAAACTCAACTAAACTTCATCAAAATCCTCCTATTCACCCAATCTCCATCAAACTTCTCCAAACCTTATCAAACTTTACTAAACTCCATCAAACTCCTTCAAACTCCATCAAACTTTATCAAACTTCATCAAGCCCCATCAAACTCAATCGAAAACTCCACCCCATTTCATCAAACTCCTCCAACTCACCCGATCTCCACCAAAAGCCTCCAAACCCATGAAACCCCATCAAACACTTCAAAACTCCACCAAACTCCTCCAAACTCCACTAAACTCCGCCAAACTCCATCAAACTCCATCAAACCCCATCTAACTGGATCAGCCCCTGAGATCATTGGCCAGCCTATCATAGAAGGCTTTCATCAGCTGGTCGTTGGTGCGATGGGCGGTTGGCGGGAAGGCTATGTAGGTATTGGTGGAGATGTGAGATGCTAGCTCAATGCCAACTCGGCTGCGTCGGATCTTCTCCATGATTAGAAAAACTAGCACTGGACGACCACTGTAAGCCGATTCTACATTCGCCATCTGTGGGAGAGGAAAGTCGTTGGTTGGAATTATTTTGTGTTTCGTCGCTCGTTGAATTTTTTATTTTTTTTAAATTAAAGGTACTGACTTTTTTTCGACCGTTTTGATACTTTTTATCATTTTAATTTTTTTTTCATGTTTTTTTAAAAGTTTGAGTGTGTGTGTGTGTGTGTGTGTGTGTGTGTGTGTGTGTGTGTGTGTGTGTGTGTATGTTTGTGTGTGTGTGTGTGAGAGAGAGAGAGAGAGAGAGAGATAGAGAGAGAGAAGGGGTAAGAGAAAGAGAAAGAGAGAGAGAAAGAGAGAGTGAGGGGGAGAGAGAGAAAGAGTGTGTGTGTGTGTGTGTGTATGTGTGTGTGTGTGTGTGTGTGTGTGTGTGTGTGTGTGTGTGTGTGTATGTGTGTGCATGTGTGTGTGTGTGTGTGTGTGTGTGTGTGTGCTTGGGTCAACACATTTTACATTAATCTTTTTTAAAACATGTCTGTATAAATCTTACTGAAAAACGGCAATCAAAGGCACCCAAAAAAAATGTTTCTTTACACAATCCTGCGACACTCAAGCTTTGGAAGTCATCAAAAGTTTCAGCAGTTTTCTCCCTAAATAGGGGTGCCCACTAGCGAGAGCGGATCGAGTCGGATCGTGTCGGGTCGTCGGGTCGGATCATTTTCTAGTGGTTTCAGTGCACACTACAACCCCGTCGCGATTGTACTCGACGACCTGTAAGTTACAGTAGAGAAACCTTTAACCTCAAAGGCTTCCAGGGCTCCTTTCCGCAGTTCCCTGTTGCAGTGCTGCGGCAGCTTGGAATCCCAGAAACATGGTTACAATAGTTACATCGATGACTTTCTTTTATCAAAGATCGTTCATAAGAAGATAGCTCTAGTTCACACGGCCAAATAAGTGTCCAGGGAAGTACGCGCATTGGTTCAGATGGCGCTGCAGTCTTTGTTTTGAAGCTCTCTAGCATTTCTCCAGAAGAAGAATAGGATTAGCACAATAGTTTGTTAGTTTCGCTTTTATTGTTTTACACACAAGTAGGGTACCTCTGTTCGCAAAGTCAGCAACTTTTCGAAGAGGGCGCCTCCGGATTTTGAGTGTCAACATGGACACGTGACTCAGCCTTGTTGTGATTGGCTGCAAACCTCCCGATCACGCGACTCATGGGCCTGAAAACAAACGCGTTTGTTTTTGTAGATCACCGACCGAGTCGATCCGCTTGAGCCATGATAGCCGCTTTGCACCCTCAGTTTGGCTAGGCCCGACTGCCAGATCGACCCGACCCGGCCCGACCCGACCCGACCCGATTGCGTATGTGAGTACCCCCTATAAGTTTACCTCTGACTCCAGGCGACCCCCCACCTCCCTCAATCACTGAATAGAGGGTTGGGTACCTTTCATTAAAAGCAAGACAAACGAACAAGCTTTAAGACAATACCAATAATTCCACAACATCCCCAAAAAGTGACGAGCGCATGGTTCCACCGTGTCGAGACACAACTGTTTTAACATCGAGACACAACTGTTTTAACATCGAGACACAACTGTTTTAACATCGAGACACAACTGTTTTAACATCGAGACACAACTGTTTTAACACGTCCGAGACCAACAACAAAAAATTGTGAGGCATCGTGGGGAAACCAAACGCTCGTCAAAATAACGAACGCAATGAAAACGGCATATTTCCGCAGATTTGACAATTTGTATCTGTTGTTCACAGGTACACTTCTGAGTTATTCAGCTGTAATTCACAGGTACACTTATAATTGACTTAATTCTCAGGTACATTTATAACAAACTCCCCTACCCCCCCCCCCCCCCCTGTAAGTCTTAGGTACTTAACTGCATTTCACAGGTACACTTATGAATAACCCACTTGTAATTAATTCACAGGCACATTTATGAGTTACTCACCTGTAATTCACAGGCACATTTATGAGTTACTCACCTGTAATTCACAGGTACACTTATGACTGACTTAATTCATAGGTGAACTTAGTGAGTTACTCACTTGTAACTCGTAAGTACACTGATGATTGACTTGCTTCACAGGTACACTTATGACTAATTCACCTGTAAGTCAAGAGGTACACGTATCAATTACTCACCTGTAATTCATAGGTACACTTATGGCATAACTCACCTGTAATTCATACGTACACTTATGACATAACTCACCTGTAATTCATAGGTACACCTATCAATAACTCACCTGTAATTCATATGTACACGTATCAATTACTCACCTGTAATTCATAGGTACACTTATGACATAACTCACCTGTAATTCATAGGTACACCTATCAATTACTCACCTGTAATTCATATGTACACGTATCAATTACTCACCTGTAATTCATAGGTTCACCTAAGATTAACTCACTTGCAATTCATAGGTACACTTATGACATAACTCACCTGCAATTCATAGCTACACTTATGACCAGCTCATCTGTAATCCATTGGTTCACCTAAGATTAACTCACTTGCAATTCATAGGTACACTTATGACATAACTCACCTGTTCATAGCTACACTTATGACCAACTCACCTGTAATCCATTGATTCACATAAGATTAATTCACCAGCAATTCATAGGTACACTTATGACATAACTTAGGCCTACCCGTAATTCACAGGTACACGTATCAATTACTCACCTGCAATTCATAGGTACACGTATGACATAACTCACCTGCAATTCGCAGGTACACGTATCAACTACTCACCTGCAATTCATAGGTACACCAGTTGCTCTTGACCTGAGCGGCCGTGAGCACCACCAGCGTGCGCCTGCTCGTCTTGACAGCCGTCACAATGTTAGAAGCGATGTATTCGCCCGCGCGGAAGTCTCGCCCGTGGATCAGAACCCGCAAGCCGAGGGAACTCAGAGCTGGGAGGGCGGTTGGAGGGGGGGGGTGTAGAAGGGAAGGGAGTGGATGGAGAGAGAGAGAGAGGAGAGAGATTATATCATACGTGGTACATATTTAGTTGAGAATCTGCAAGCCCCGGGAATTCAGAGCTGGGAGGGGGGGGGGGGGTTGTAGAAGGGAAGGGAGTGGATGGAGAGAGAGAGAGAGGAGAGAGATTATATCATACGTGGTACATATTTAGTTGAAAATCTGCAAGCCCCGGGAACTCAGAGCTGGGAGGGGGGGGGTTGTAAGGGTGGGGGATGGGTTGTAAGGGGGGGGGGATGGAGGGAGAGAGAGGAGAGAGATTATATCATGCGTGGTACCGATTTAGTTTAGAACCCTCAAGCCGCGGGAACTCAGAGCTGGGAGGGGGGAAAGAAGGAGAGAGAGAGAGAGAGAGAGAGAGAGAGAGAGAGAGAGAGAGAGAGAGAGAGAGAGAGAGAGAGAGAGAATGAGAGAGAGAGACGAGACGAGAGAGATTATATATATATTATATGATACAAATTAGTAGGTTTCTGTAACGCCCTCTTCCAAATTGGGCTATATGCACTTAACTTTTTTCGGCGTTTAATCAACATTCAAACAACTTCTAATGCTATATTCAATTAACATTCAAACAACTTTTAATGCTATATTCAATGAACATTCAAACAACTTTTAATGCTATATTCAATGAACATTCAAATAACTTTTAATGCTATATTCAATAAACATTCAAACGACACTCGAGCTGCTAAGCTAATAGAATTATTCATGCTCATCAATATTCACACAAGCAAATAGTCGAACGTACACACACATGCACACACAAATATACACACACAGACACACACACACACACACACACACACACACACACACACACACACACACACACACACACACACATGCACATAGACATAGGCCCACGGGTGTGCACACAATCATTCAACCGTGATCATCATCATCATCATCATCATCATCATCATCATCATCATCATCATCATCATCATCATCATCATCATAATTATTATTATTATTATTATTATTACTATTATTATTATTATTATTATTATTATTATTGTTACTTTTATTATTATTATCCTTATCATTATCATTATTGTTGTAGTTATTATTATTATTATTATCATTATTAATATTATCATTATTATTATTGTTATCATTATCATCGTTATTTTAATTATTATCTTTGTTATTATCATTATTATTTTATTATTATTTCTATTTTTATTTTATTATTATTGTTGTTATTATTATCATCATCATTATTATTATTATTATTATTATTATTATTATTATTATTATTATTATTATTATTATTATTATTATTATTATTATTGTTGTTGTTGTTATTATCATCATCATTCTCATTAACGTTATTATTATTATTATTATTATTATTATTATTATTATTATTATTATTATTGTTATTATTATTATCATTATTATTAGTATTATTGTCATTATTATCATCGTTTTTATTATTATTGTTATTATTATTATTATTATTATCATTATTATCGTCGTTATTATTATTATCACTGTTTATTATTATTATTATTATTATTATTATTATTATCATTATCATTATTATTTTTATTATTATCATATTCCAGAAAAAAAGAAAGTTCCTGGTCACATAGCTCACCTGGGTTTAGATCGTTCAACACAAACTGCTCGTCCTCGAAAGCATAAGAGAGGAACACATCGTACTGGAAAGCGCCCGGCTCCGCCTGAGGGCATCGATCCCAGTATCTCTGATAGGCCACGTAGTAGAGAAATCTAAGCTTCCAGCGGAATCGATACAGTAATACTGCAACCACGATGAGTGTCGTGAGCAAACTGGCGGCCAGAATTATGAAGAAAATGGCGATGTGCTTCGGGCATTCACGTTGCAGATTCCTCAAGATCTGCTGGAATCCGTCTGTGATATTTCTGTCTTTCGTGCCATCAAAAGCGCATTTGTAGCCTTCAAACGTCTTATTAAAAGCAGGCGATGACGTCATCCACTCCAGAAATTTCAGGTTGTTGCATTCACACAGTATGGGCGCGGAGGCCATGTTCACACTGACGTTTTTCAGGCTGTCTATCTGTCTGCGCATGTCCGGGGATAGGCTCCTCACAGCAGTCAAATGAAGATCCAGTTCTCGTAGCTGTGCCATGTGATCTATCCTCGTCTCAAATATCCAGAACGGATTGTTGTTGAGCTTGAGCGAGACCAGACTGTGGAGACCAAGGAACAGATCCGGTCTGATATGGTACAAGCCGTTGTCGTCTAGATGGAGATGGGTCAGTCGCGACAGATTGCTGAAGGTGGACATTTTCAACAGACAGTCGGGAGTGGAGTTTAGTCGGTTCTCACCGAGATTGAGGCGCCTCAAGAATGGAAAGTTCTGGAAGAAACTGTCTTTGATACAAGCAAGGTTTGTTCTGGACAGGTCCAGACCAGCTAGTTTCTCCAGACCCTCGAACGGCCCTACGGCTGAGGGGAAGTAATTCTTGTCTAGTTTTAGAGTGTGAAGTTTATTTCGCTTGTCGAACTTGATGGGGGATAGATTGTACTTTAAGCTGGCCTTGGACATTTCCAGCTCCTCCAGCTCAGGTGGAAGTCGAAACGTGATGCATTCTCTAGAAGATTCTAGGTCACCACGCTGGCTAGGCCGTTGGGCGACGTGGATAACATCGCGTGAATACTGATCCGCCTGCAGGAGTGAATGTTGATGAGGTACCGCCGAGAAAGGATATTTGGACGGGATATTATGTAGGTAGCTGCCCCCATCGAGCATTAGCTTCTTCAAACTCTTCAGCTGCCATAAATATTGGAGGTAGTGCTCGAACACAAACTTGTTGTCACCCACATTGAGCAGCTGCAGTCCCTGGGGAAGAGCCGAGAACACGGAAGGGTCCACGATCTCGATACTGTTTCCGGTGGCCTCCAGGGCGAGCAGGCCTGTGGGGAGACAATCCACGTGACTTCTGTTGATTCGGAGCGCCAGCGAGAACCGAGACACGATGTTGTTGATGAGTAGCCAGGTGAGGGACGAGTTCTTTAGCGCGCACACAGCTTGGGAGAACGTTTCGAGTCCAAAGTCTTCATTGAACGTCAGATCTAGCGTTTTCAGATTCTGTAGGGGCGTGAACGTGAGATGGTGAACTTCTGAACCCTGAATGAAGCAGTCGCTCATGTTTAGAGAGTGGAGGGACGAAAGATGAATGAAGGTGTCTTCTCTCAGAACATCCAGTTTGCAGTAGCCGGTGACAAACCCCGCTATGCTCAAGTGCCGAAGACTTGTCATGTTGGAAAATCCAGGTCCAAATGTTTTGTTCCGCAGTCCGTCCATTGACAAATTGACCAGCTGGCCGAGAACTGACAGGGCGAGATGGGGGTAGTCCAGGCCTGGGTCAGTGGAGTTCTGGTTGTTTCTTTCCATCGACAGTTTCGTGAGCTTTTGTAACGGCAGAAACACGCCCACGGGGATGGAATGCTCCGTCATGGCGATTCTGTTGTTCACGAGACTCAGATGCTGGAGACTCACTAACCCAGAGAAGGAGCGCTCGTGCAAGCGGCTGAGGTTGTTCCTGGCTAAGAACAGTTTCTCCAGACGGGGGAATCTCACCAGACTGTTGTTAGCCAGCTCTGAGACGGAGTTGTTGTACATGTTGAGTACCACCACGTCCTCGGATAAGTACGAAGGGATTGAGGTTAACCCCTTGCTAGAGCAGTCGCAGTACTTACAAGTGGGGGAGCACAAACTTTTCGTTTTCAACTGGTTCTCCGACAGACCCCTAACCTCGTCATCAAAAACGTCATATGACCCAGGTCTGTCCCTTTCGTCGTCATCAGACTGAGAGCGGAAGGTCAGACTTCTGCAGTGGCCATTCGGGGTACACAAGACGAAGATTGAAGCGACAATGGCTGCCAAACACTTCGTTGCCATAGTTACTCAGTCCTGTCTCGCATCACTCAACAACTTTTGTTAGGCGTCAACACCTTGAGGGCTGAGGAATAGATGGCAGGGGGAAAACAAAAGTAAACCGCTATCTTCGAGTTACAGAGGTCTATCTGACATTTTTGGCACTTTTGAATTACTAAGACTATGGGGTTAAAAAACAAATGTTCTATCTGCCCTATCACAATCGTAAGATATTCGGAGTTGTTGTCATGCTATTCAAAGAACTGCATTCGAAAATGTTTGACATGTTCTGTAACTTAACAATTGTAACGTCATATTTCTCAAAAACTAAGTAATGAGCAGAAAGAACTTTATAATTTTCTAGGGTAGCGAACAACGTTCTATCTGACATTTTTGGCTGCTTTGAGTACTCAAAACCATGAGGTGAGAAGGCAAAGGCTATACCTGCTCTGTCAGAATCGTAAGATTTTTCGGAGTAGTTATCAAGATATTTAAAGCATTGCATTCGAAAAGCTTGACATGATGTGAAACTCAAAATTTCTGACATAAAATTTCTCAAAACCAGGTACTGAGCAGATAGCACTTTGTAATGCTGAGGTAGCGACATGTTGGCGGCCATATTTTGGTCAACTTTGCCCCTGACACCAGGTGACGCCCCCCCCCCCCCCAATCCGCCCCCAACCTCCTTCAGTCACAAATATCTCGACTTCTTTTATAAGATAGGATGGTATGTTTTTCATGAAAAGCGAGGTAAATTTAGATTTAGTTTTAGCAAGGTTTTACGGTGCTCGCAACTGCAAAAAGCCATATGAGCGCCAAGGGGTGGATGTCAACAGAGAATTCCAAACGGGGAATCAGGCTTACTCTGCTCACCTCTCTAGCCTCAACAGCATGATATAATAAAGTCTGCTTCTACTATCAAGGCACCCCGTAAATGGCAGTCCACAAGGGAGTGACAAACATACAAAAGAAGTAGAGGTAAAAGGACGATAGTCAGGATGAGGGGAAAAAGGCAGCAGTTCCCACTATGATGTTCCGGCACAGTATAAGCGTGACTTTTCTAAATCAGCCCATTTACAATTCTACTGTGCATACGAACCTATTAATATCACTCCTGTGGGAATGGCCTCCTAAAGACACTTCAGTCAGTAACACTGCCCTGGGGGGGGGGGGGGGGGCAAGGCAATTGAACAGGCTATAACTTGCAGATCATAACTCCACATTGTCATGACCAATTATTGACGGACGCCTGATTCCGCCGTGTTGTGACAAAGTTAAAGCAGAAACTGAAAACTGTCCGAGACGGCCATCCTATGTCGAGGAGAAACGTGGCCGTACTAAATGAGATGTCGTCTTATACGGGGTGCCCATTAGGGGATCGGGGTGGGTCGGGGCGGTTTGCTTGCCAGATTGAGGGTGCAGAGCGGCTATCGTGGCACAAGCCGATCGCGCACGACTCATTGCCTGAAAAACAAACGCGTTTGTTTTGTTTTTAGGCTACGAGTCGGGCGATCGACTAGGCCCGGCCCGACCCGACCCGATCCCAATAGAAATGGGCACCCGGTATTACTCAGTGGCATTATAATGTTTGAAAAAATAATGCGCAAGGGAGGAAATGGGATGTGTCTGTTTGCGGAGGTGATTGACGGTCACAGGTGGCTGTTCGAGCAGGATCCACCGTAACCGTAATATTTTTATCTTCTCGAACTCAGTTTTACTTCCTAGTGTGGCAACGTGAGGGGTAGCTCGTGACTTAATTCAGCTGTGTTACGTGCTCATTGACCTTACACCAAAGAGGTTATATAACATAGCACAAGAGCTGGTGGCAGTGACGGCACCCACGTAAACGCACGAGGGCTGCGTGTCCCCACTCTGGGACGCGTAGGGGAAGAGGAAGAAAAATAAAAAACAATGGACACTTTTTTAAATTCCCGTGGAGACGTCTCGACCGTCTTAGGGCCTTGACAGACGAGCTACAATAGGTGCGTAGAAAACTCAGCTCAGAAAGTGTCGCTTACTTTTGCGTGGCAGCCACACGGGGCGACACTTAACGCTACTGCTCATTTCAACGTGGACGATCGGAAAGTCAGGTGGCTTTAGTCATGGTGATGAGCAGAATCTTTTTTTTTTTAAAGGAAAAGAAAGTGACAAAGAAGATTTTGGGTCAAATAAAATGGAAAAGTTGCTTACATATCTGTTTCTTCAATGCATCACTAGCGTGATTGTATTCTGCTGAGTGCTAGCCATACATATCCAAGCATCATTTTTTTTAAATTTATTTTATCTTTACATTCCTCACTTGTGTTGTCCCAAATGATGTTTCCGCTCTTAATTTCCAAAATCAAACGCTCTGTTTCGAGATAAAAAGAAGACATGGTTGCATTGGGAATATTGTCGTGTTGAATGAGAAGCAAGAAAAGACACAACTATTGTGGGAAAGCACCGACAATAAATACAACTCGTGTGTCCGCGTCTCTTGAACTGTGGAGAGCTGCCCAGTTTGTCACAGGCCCAGTTTGTCACAATTTCATTTAAGTTTTTTGAGCATTGATGACAGTCATAATTACAGCACTTTAACACTGTAGTTGTCCTTGTAACTTAAGTTTCTTTTTATTCTCCACTTTCAAATTCGTGGTGTAGAGACAGTTCCTCTAAAGTGTCAATTCAGCTTGTGTTGTTTAATACTTCTTCTTTTTTTGTATGCAAATCAAAGCAAATTAATTACTCTGTAAAATTTTAAAAATAATGTTCATTCGCAAAAAAAACAATTGAAAAATCAAATTAAATTCATACAATCAATCAATCATCCATTTACTCTTTTTGGGAGTGTCATTGATAACTTCCATCATGCAGGGCACTGGCAAACTGGTTGTGTGACAAACTTGCTGCATCCGAACTGTGTGTGCTTCACCAAAACACTGGTGTGTCGCGGCGTGGCACAATTTGGGCGACACACGTCTGCTACGCCAGGACTGAAAACAACGCCTGTAGTATGTATGTAGTATAGGGTTTTACGGCGCTCTCAACTGCTAAGGTCATATGACAACGCCTGTCGCTCGTGTGACCGCTCCCATTGTCTACAGTGTATCACCAGATTGCGCAGAAGCTACTGCTGCGATTTTTACATCTCGTCTTTCAAGGGGGAAATCAAAAAGCTAACACTGAAATGGGGTGGGGGGCGAGAGAGTGGGCAGGGCTGTGTCTGTTGTACTGGAGATCGTGGGGAGGGTGTGTGTGTGTGTGTGTGTGT